CATTTTGAATAACCGAGGTGACTCTGTTGATAATGCAACCAGGTTGGTGTGTGGTTCCGCCATTGGGGTAAAAGTCAATGTGCCCGGAGTTTTCATGTATACCCAGCCCTATCACCGGTACGGCATCCGTGTGTATGGCATCGACAAATTGAGCCTGGTGCAATGCAAATTAATTAAATAGTTAATAATTTATATTTAATAAAATTAGTACATGTACACAAAATAATTTGCTACTTACATCAGATGGTGCAAGTTTATCTGTTGAAGGTTGACCATCAAAACCAAGACCTATGACAAACAAAAAACAAATTGTTGTGGTTAATTTATGAAATGTTTAATGCGCGTGGTCAGTACAAACTTGCTGGGTCCAAACCAGTAATGCGACCAATCTTGCCATTGAAAGCCTTGCCGGTAAAACCGGCGATGTGTGCGCCCAATGAGTGGCCCACAATGTGAACCTTGTTTAGATCTAACCCTGATTTACTCTAATCACGTTGGAATTAAATTAGTTGCATGTTAATATTATTTAAACAAAACGAGTAAATAAATATATCTATTAAATTACCTGTAATTCGGTAATTAACTTTGTGACTGCTCGTGGTACAGTCGACTTTATGTTAGCTTTAGTCTAAATATAAATTAATCATTGTTGGTTTTTTAATTAATAAATCATCATTAAAATTTAAAATCAATATAATCATACCTGCTCATATGACAATAAATGATTGCCTGCACTCCAGTCGACAATAAACACATTATAGTCACCGGCATTCAGAAACTCGTCCTTCATGGTTTCCAATGACATGGCACCGGCCGGCGCCACACCATAGCCGTGTATAATGAACTTGGTGACCAGGGTGTTGTTGAAATTGGCCAGGCTACCGGTGCCCTCTGGTTGTGAGCTTACTTGCGCATGTTGCGGATTGCGGCGGGTGTACAGATTGAACTTGGTGCTAAATTGCTCGGCACTAGGTGATCCAAACAGAAATGCCTCGGTGTTTATGGCAATAAACACTGCTAGTATAGTTAACTTTACTAACATGGTTGTTTAAATGTTTAGTTCAACTTGTTTATAATATTAAGTTTAGTTATTATTGTAAAATACTTTTAATTTATATGTTTTTTAAGGTTGCGTAACAAACAGATTGTTTTTTGCTTGATGATTAATTTTAAATAATTAGATCCTGGTTTAGTCCATGGTCGTTTTTAATAATTAATTAACTTGTAACTGTGTGCATTGATTAATTGATGCTGCACTATTTGCACTTAATAGTTACATAATAAGACAAATTTAATATTTATATTAATATTAGTTTTAACAATTTAAAACACCAACATTTATTTCTTAAAATTTAGTAAAAATGGAACAAAAACCTTATTAAAATATGCTACACATTTTGACCCAGCAGCTTTGTAAACTAAAATAATTGTCTACATTTTGTCAAAAGGTTACATGTTTAAATTTGTGATAATTCCATAAAATAATCCCACAAATCATTGTTATAAAATATACACAATTAAAAAATTAATCAAAGTATTATAATTAATTACCATGGTGCAAACTTGTAATTTTATTTTGAATAACAAAACTATAAATTTTAAATCTTGCAAACACATTTAGTTAAACACATTTTTTAACAATTGCATTAATTTTATATCATGTAGTACAATACAATTAATTAACTTTTATATATTGTATTGTGTAGTATATTTATAAATAATTTACCGTACATTTTACATGAAATATTTTATAAAACATATATTCACAAATTAATCAAAGTATTATAATTAAGCACCATGATGCAGATCCGTTATCTACGTAATTTTATGTGAGTAACAAATCTATATAAATTTAAACGTTTGCAAAATATTTTGTATTAAATGCATTTCTTTTGTATACTTAAACATAATTATTAGTAAATGAGATAAACATTTAATAATGTTTGCAAATATAATAAAAATTAGTGTACTATTTTGTGAGCTTTGCAAAAGCTCTTCCAACAGTGACAAACAACTTTAATGTAAAATTTTTACTCAACACCATAACAAACTGAGCGAGCATGTTTATACACACCTACATGGCGCTAAAAACAATGCCGATATTACCAACTCAAATTCCGATAACTCACTTATTACCAAAAATTATTATAAATGGCTTTTGAAGTAAACACTCTATTTTACAACAGCAATGACAAACAAACCGAGCAGGTCTACCTAGTTACACCTACAGACCTACCTAGCGATAAAATCCATGCCAATATTACCAATTCAAATTTTGATAATACACTTATTACCAAATTCATAATAAGTGGTTTTTGAAGCAAATTGAATGACGATGCCTGTTCTAATAAAATGCGGGACTCATTTTTAAAACATCTCGATTGCAATGTAGTCATTGTAGACTGGAGCGAAGGTAGTTGCGATTTTTATCATGAATAATTTCGCATTCATGTTCCACGAAGTTTGTTTATAAAACATATGTTCAAAAATAAATCAATGTATAATATTATAATCAATCACCATGATGCAAATCCGTTATATACATAATTTCATGTGAGTAACAAAACTACATGTATATAAATTTACACGTTTTCAAAACATTTTTTATATAATATGCATATCTATTCTGTATTTATATATAATTATTAGTAAATGAGATAAAAACTTAATAATGTTTTCAAAAATAGTGATTATTGTACTATTTTTTAGCTTTGCTAAAACGCTTCAAACATTGATAAAACAACTCAATGTAAAATTTTTGATAAACACCATAACAAACTGAGCGAGCATGTTTATACACACCCACTTGGCGCTAAAAATAATGTCGATATTACCAACTCAAATTTCGATAACTTACATAATAATTTTAATAATACGTGAGTTATCGAAATTTGAGTTGGTAGCTATTGGAGCATACACTCTGACAATGGCTGACCTAATAAAATGCGGAACGAATTTTTAAAACATCTCGATTGCAATGTAAAGTACTTGTGGACTGGAGCGGTAATTGCAATTTTTATTATAACGTATGTTTTTTACTATTATAAATTTATTTTTATACTTTGAAAACTAAAACAATGTTTTAGTAATATTACACATAATTTTTAAATATCATTAATTTTATTAATAA